CGAGGATCATCACTTAAAGAAAAAAATTATTAAAAAATAAAATAAAATGAAAATAAATACGGATTATTAAGAACCATATGCATAACAAGTGTTACTGCATGTTTTCGAACTCTACAAGCTTTATCTCTTAATCGATCAAGTCCGAGTTCAAATACTCGAATATATTGTTTAACAGGAACTTTTTTTTGTATTACAAGTGATGTCCATAATTCTAAACAATGTTGACGAATAAATGCTGGTTCATCACGTATATGATCCTAATTTAATGTTTGAAAGAAAAAAACAAAAAAATTATTTATTGAAATAAAAATTAAATGAACTTACACGTAATTTTCCTAAAAGATCATCACGCATTTTTCCTTGTCCATCATCTAATTCATCAGATGAACGAAGTCTTTCAATAACAGAACATAATGCTGTTAAAGCAGCAACACGAATATGATGACTCTAAAATAATGAAATTGTTTATATTGATTCTTAATATATATTATACGGGCAACATCTGCAAATACAGGACATGATCATCTTCAATTCTTTTTAGAGTTCATTTTTTTGAACAAGTTCTCTTCCCATGAATATAGGTAAAAATATAAGCTCATACCTAATTAAAATTAATTAACTAATTAATTGCAATGTAATTAGTGAATAACACTCTAACGTTATGACGAAGAATCTAAGAATTTTAGAATCCAAATCGATAATTCAGACGTTCAGATACTTGAATTTCTGGTCGGAAAACTCGGAGAATGTTACAAACTTGGAAGCAGAAATCTAATGATCGAAGTTTTCTAGTTCTGGTTGTAACTGGTCACCGAATTCTTGCTGCCGAATTCCTACCATTATTTTCTGAGTTTTACCATTAGAAGCAGTCCGTATTTCTTGACTCAGGAATAGACTCCACACCATAACCTATATTAATGCCTGAACAAGAGTTTTTACTATTTAGAATTCGTTATTGAAGTTCTTATTCCATTATAAGAAGTTTTTTTGTTTCTATATTCGTATTAACTTCTGTCACCAACAATGACTAAACTGAACTTTTTGAAAAACTTTCTATCTAAATTTTGTAGCGTGAAAAAGGTTCTAGAAAATACACGATTTAGTTTTCAAACATATTCTTCGACATCGTGTATTATTTGTAAATGGCAAATCACGCAGTTAAAAATATTGTCATTTGTATGCCATTTTAGTAATTAATCACT